GAAATTCTTATTTTTTTCCCGTACACTTTCACTTCAGCTCGCATATCAACAGCTATGATTACCGAGGAAACTCCTGAACTCAGCTGAGGAAAGGAAACATAAATTCCAACACTTTCCAATAATATCTTCCAAGTTCACCACGCAGCATACAAAATAGGTCAGGTCGCCACACAATCGAGAACAAGAATATCCACAAGGTTGACCTTGTAAGATTCAAAATAGGTCCGAGCGTGACTCACAACCGATAAAGCTTCTCCCTCATTTGTAGGTGCGGCTTATGAAATTGAAAACGAAAATATCCACAAGGTTGAGCTTGTAAGATACAAAATAGGTCCGAACGTGACTCACAACCGATAAAGATTCTCCCTCATTTGTAGATGCGGCTTATGAAATTGAAAACTAGAATATCCACAAGGTTGAGCTTGTAAGATACAAAATAGGTCCGAACGTGACTCACAACCGATAAAGGTTCTCCCTCATTCGTCGATACGACCAATCCTCCACATATCTCTGCTCCACCGCTTTTGGACGTGTCACCGGTGACACCAGTAGACATCGGAGCTTTGTGCCTACGGGTTAAATCAAAATCTGCAACAATTTCAGAGGAAAAATATCGAAATGAATTTGACTCTTAATTTACGGTATCAAAACGAATTCGAATAATATCGATTTCTCTGGTACATCAAAAATGGGAAAAAGACGCCGAAATATGCATTTCGAATCCCCATCGCAGTTATTTCTTTCAAAAAAAATTTCTAAATTTTTACGGAAATTCCCACCACCAAACCCCATCCAATAGACGAAATATCTTGCGCATGCGTGCAAAATATATCAACAATCCGGAAATTCTTCCCAGTGCGCTCCAAAGATACTACTACATCAGCGCATTTTCCTTCCGTCGAGGCTCAATCGTTTCCCCCCTCCGCGTAAAAAGCTCCTTCTCAAGTTGCTCTCGGATTGCCACTTTCTCACTCGCAGAAATTCCACAGTCCATATCCGTCACAGAAGAGGCATCTTCCCGGACCAGTCTCATGTATCTAAAGATACTTTTCATGCCCATTTTCGACCTAAAGATACTTTTCATGCCCAATTTCGACCTGAAGATATTTTTCATGCCCAATTTCGACCTAAAGATACCTTTCATGCCCAATTTCGACCTAAAGATACTTTTCATGCCCATTTTCGACCCAAACATACTTCTTATACCCAATTTCGACCTAAAGATATTTTTCATGCCCAATTTCGACCTAAAGATATTTTTCATGCCCAATTTCGACCTAAAGATATTTTTCA